GTCCATGCATGTTCGAGATACAGTGATCACAGACGGACGGACGCACTGACGGACGGACGCACGCACACAGGGCAAAACATAAGTCCCCGTTTTCGGACTGCGTCCGAACGGGGACTAATAAGTGGATTAATCCATGGGAATCTACAGTAATTTCAACTTTAAAATTGCATTCTCACTTATGCAAGTATGTTCTAGAACAAGCTAAAAAAATTAAATGAGCTGAAATGTTTTTGTTTTAGCCAGAATTATGATATATCAAAAGATATCCTGCCTCACTTCTCCACTTATTTTATTTTGGGAGTACTGTAGGGTCATATCAGGCAAACTGTATCTTGGACAAACAAAGCTCAATGAGTTTTTATTGTTCATAAAACTTAATTATACACGTATATATAAATATACTTTATACACAATTTCAACATTTGATGTATTGATCAGTGGATGGCAGCTTACACTAATAATTCTGAGTAGATGCATGAAATTATGGTTTCAACATACTGTAAAATACTTTTCGCTATTTTCACTGAAGGAATGATTCAGTGAAAAAAAAATCAAGCGAATATACTGTTGTTCCTATATTTTACATTCAACATGTCAAAAATCAGTGAAAAGTCTATTCAGCGAAAATTAATTCCAGCTAAAATAAAATACTTTACATTACTTCAGTTTCCTGCAACATATTCACAACAATCACAGTTTTCTACGGGAAATACCTTTGTACATAGTAGATGTCTCAACTCGTCTACTGGAACAACCCTATATACACAGTGGAACCACTGATAACATGATTTTTACTTACAGGCTGTTCGGAGTACCCATGGACTTGAGGTTCCTATAGCAGCCAAATCTAAGCTTATTGTCTCTGTGCAATATATTGAGTACATTATTAAACTAGCCAACCAAAAACTAGAAGAAAACATGGCAAGAATTGACAGGTAGGAAGGAAATCTAGTGAATGAAGCATCTTGTTGCACCCTGTGTTGTTTTTGGGACTACTTTATTGCATGCGTTAGAATACATACTTTTGTAATGGCCCTCTGGTTTCTTTGATGTTTCCTGTGTTCCTGAGTCAACACATCACACACCCTCATATAAATCAAGGATCATTTTCACTCTAAATAAATTAGGGTTGGCAATGATTGCCTAGGATATCGACGTTCATTTTTCAGGTGGCTAGACTTGATTTTAACCACATTTGAAGTATATTCTGATTGCCAAAATTATCTTCCTAGGTTGTGAGATTTGCCTGCTTTTATTTAAAATGAGTGAGAACAAAAATGGAGAAGAGAACTATAGTTTTACTAACCTTTGAATATTCATATTGTACTGCATGCAAAATGTTAGAATTTACCATCAAATTGAAGTTCAAATGTACATGTCTACAGAAATGGATGGTGTTGCAATTCGTCGTGGATATGTATCAGTGAGGTACCACAGGGCAGTAACAAGGTGTTCAGAAATGAGACAATATTATTTAGATGAGAATTGCTTACAATAAATGGGATTGTGTTGTATGTACAGTATTCTATGTTTATCATTGAAACTGACAACATAGTGTTTTTTTCTCTTGCAGGTTCTTCACCAATTTAAAAGCACATATGGCAGTGACAAACGACAAGTCAACACTCGCTGCTCAGATAAGTGGCAAGTCAAGAAAGAAAACAGTTGTCTGCGAATACTGTCATAGAAAACAGAGCAACAAATATGAGCAGAAACATTTTGATCACAGCAATCCAACTTGTAAAACTCCTCGCAATGTGGACAGTCCACAGAATAACTCTGACTTGGATCCGGAGGATATTGCAGGACTATTTGACACTTGAGACATATTTTTATGAAAATTGAAGATAATTTATTCATGCACTTGATGAAACCCGTGTTACATTATTGCTTATTCAAGGGTAGAGGACAGAAGACACACCACGCATGTGCAGGATTTTGTGCTGATAATTTTCCAACAATCTAACGTGCTCTTCCAATGACAAGTACGACCGCCTTAGATATTTTGGAATCTTTCATTGATAATACATCAATGAAGATTCCAAAAAGTCAAATTGTCTAATTAAACCTTGGTAACACTCAAACCACCATCTTTTTTTTTGTATGGGTCCCATGTGTGGTGCGATGACCTTGTCCTTAAGTCACATTGCATTGAATCATAATACATGAATTGTCAAGTAGACTGCCTTTTCTTTAAGTTGGAAAAAGTAGTTTTTATGGAAATTAAATTAAATTAAATTTGAACATTTTGCAGAGTGCAGATGGAGTTACTGTAAAATACTTTATTTCCACTTGGAATTTATTTTTGCTACTTTCGCTGAAGGTATGATTCAGTGAAAATAAAATCCAGCAAATATACCTTTTTCAATATATTTCAAATTCAATAAATTCCATACAAAAAACCCAAAAAGCCTTTTTAGCGAAAATTAAGTATTTTACAGTACACTGAACTTAGGATTGTGAACTGCTCAAAATAACTCTAATCTGAATGTATATTTTTGCATAATAAACTACTGTAAAATAATTTATTTTCACTGATTTTTGAAAAATGTAGGGAAAACTATATTCACTGGATTTTATTTTCCTTTACTCATCCCTTCAGCAAAACCAAATGATTTTACTGTACCTCCTTGTCACTGTTATTGAGCCACGTTAAGTGTTTTAGCACTCGCTGGTAACTATATAGATACATCATTGCAAACAAAAGAGAACCTTATTAATTAGAGATGTACCATGGAATCACTGCAAAATACAGTACCAAAAAGAGAAAATTCCTTTTCCTGAACAGCGCCACCTAGTGGTGGTAAATATATTGCTTGAACAAGTAGTAGTAATGTATTTTAGTAACTGCAAAACAAACAAGCTTTTTAAAACTAGTGCAGCAGAAAAGAAACAAATTGAATATATTTTCATTCCTGAAATACAACAGACTACCAATGATGAAGTACATAAGGAAGCCATGACAATCTAAGAAATGCCAAAGCTTGGATCATCACCTGAATACGATGTACATATCACCTCGCATGATCCTGATGAGGTGACATAGGCAAAGAATAACTATCTTTCCTATGACGAATATAACAATTACAAAACTAAGAATTAAAATTTTTTAAAAAAGTACTAGTGTACAGAATTCGTGTTTGATATGTAAGTTTGACCATTCCGTCATTGGCAACAGAGGGCAATAATTTATAATCAAGAGCTTTGATGGTTGGATGAAGGACATGTCAATCTTTCATCAGTAACTT